GAAATTCAACAAGACATGCAAGAAAATTGGCTTGATAAAATTTTTAATGGATTCAGGTGGAATATTAGTTCTTGGGTCAAATCTTTAGTCGGTACCGGACTGCTTTTACTGGTAGTAGTTTTAATAATAATACTGCTCATTTATTATTGTCTAAAAAAGGAACTCACCAACAGAACAGCTTTTAATCAAATGATTATTCAGGCTATTGCAAGAAGACAAAACCTTAGTGAGTCGGTTGTTACACTTCCACCACCCTATAGCGAAACAAGTGGACTATAAGTGTAGTGTTGTAATTTTGAAAAGTATATTTTAATAATATTTAATCATTATATGATTAAGAAAAATTTAATTATGGAAGTATTGAAAAGATAATTATTTCAAAACTTCTAAACAGGGGAAATGTAACCAAGATGATGGAATTAGTCCCTCTGATTAGTGTCTGAAAACAGTATATTCAGCTGCTAGTACTTTTAAATCACTTCAGGTCAAACAGATGTACCTGAATAGTTTTCAGTAGTGGTTTAAGCTCAGTTTACCCTTAAATATCTTCTATAGAAATGTGCCCAAGTTGGTTCCTGATGGATTTACCATATGAATTGCAAGTCAGTTGCCTTTCTCCTGTCTTGATTACTCAGATTAGGAAAGAAGGAAACAGTTTCTGTGTTACCAATTGGGAATGAAATTACTGGTGACTGTTTTGGAAAGTATTTGAGCTTGCAGTCAATTTGCTGAGCTGCTCTTTTTTTTAATCTTTGCTTTGTTTTTTAAAAAGATGGGTGCTAGAAATGAGTAACTTATTTTAGACCATTTTAAAAGCACTTATTTCTCCAAGATATATTTTCACAAATTGAGGTAGCTTTCACTTGTTTTTTGTCCTTTCATTTTCATTTAGACTCCCCTTTTTTTTCCTGTTCAGAAATGTCATTTGTCTTTGTTTGTGCAGGTTTAGTTTAATTATTTAAAAGCTAAATTTTAATCTAAGTGTTAGAATCCTCGAGAGGTTGGATTTTCAGCTAATAGAATGTTTTGTGTTAATGGGGTAGAGGTGGAGAATCAGTTTTCAGTTTCATTTATATATGCTATTCTTGTTTGCACCCTGTTGCTCCTTTTGAGATAGCCATAAATTAAATAATTTATTCAACGGAAAAAAATCCAGCAGTGTAAAGCTTAACAGTCTATTCCAAAAAGGTCAGATACCAATTACTGTAATTTTGCATAAAATGAAATAAGAAAGCCTGCCCCTTTCACTGCCAGGGAAAAATGTTGGGACAATCAGAATTCTCATGGGGCTTTTCCAATCAATAAATGTTTCAGTGAATGGTTGCAGCACCGAAATTAAAAAGCATTGTTCTTGCTCCTGCAATTATACTAATAAACCCCTCCTAGATCTGATTGGGAGGGGAGAGGTAGAGGAAAGGATGGTCAGTACAAGAGAGGCAGAAAGAGAAGTAATGGTTTATCTAGCTTACCACTAAGAAAGATTATTTCTTTGTTGTCAACAGTACTAGTGATTTGTCTTGGTTTTTTTTTAACATTGTATTATAGTTGGGGTGTTTTTCATAGCCTTTTTTTAGTACTTTTTTCTTACTTGCATTTGTGTTTAATTTTTTCAGAAAAGTTTTACATGATTTGACAAGTAGTGTCTACCTCGTCCTGGTGCCTGAAACATAAACAGGAGATAGAATGTTTCATAAATTTTATTTTAATCCTTCATGCCATTCAAGTCCAACTACACATCACAAGGCAATGCCATCTGGAGATAGGACAGCAAGCTCTAAGCCAAGTCATTTCAGTATCAGAAGTAGTTTAGTCATGCTAGTTTGGCATTCTGCCTGGGTTCGTTAGCCTACTGAGTAGTTAAGTATGTTATTCAGGTAAAGCACTGTGCCAATATAACTATGCTACTTTTAGCACGCAGAACATTTTCAGCATGTCTGTGTAGTTCAGGATTATGTCATTGAACCTGTTCTGTGCTGATCCTTCAGGTGGCAATAGCCTCCATCAACTCTTTTATATCATAAAGCTTGACCTCTGGCAATGTTCTTACCTGGTCCAGAAATCCTACCAGGTAGGAAGCTGAATTTGGTCATCTTTCAGTTTAGTTCATTCAGAGCACCTGGAACTTATCTGCATCTTGCAGGCCTCCAGCACAAAAAGCTTACTTGTAGCCTTCCCACTGTTCCTTCTTCCTGACTGCCATCTCCTCTGCTTCTATTCTTTCTAGAAACCTGAAACAGAAGTCTGTGTAATTAATGCACAGGTCTATTTGCTTTGCAAATAAGAAGCATTGGTAGACAGATTTATCAGAGACAGATACATAAAGTATAGCTTAAGAAAGAAGCTATAGGTGGATTTGGGCCGACTGAGGGTAATCTAAATATCTAAATAAAGAGTCTTTCTGTTTGTCCAACCTATTCTGCCTACTTGCCATTGAGTGTTGTTTTTAAAGTAGGTCTTTCTGATTGTCCTACGTGCTGCACAGTATCTGCTGCAGAGAGCCACAAGGACATGTGGCACTAGCATGCAAAAGTGGGTGAGAACATTCTGTGGACAGTTTCTTTTCAACTGTAGAATGCATAGCAAATGCATATGCACTTAAACAAAAGCCCTCCGTAAGGCTGAAGAATTCCTATCAATAGCTAGTATGTTGTAAAACAATTTGCTGAGATACACTACAGTATGACAGTTCATATACTGCCTTACGAAAATATCAAAAACTTTTTTTTTTCCTACCCATCAAAATATGTTATTCTTCATCCCTTTCTCTCTCTGGAGCCGTTTTAAAAGGCCATTGTCATAGAGTCATAGAATATCTCGAGCTGGAAGGAACCTACAAGGATCACCGAGTCCAACCCTCTGCTCCTCACAGTACTACCTAAAGCTAAACCATATGACTAAGAGCATTGTCCAGACACTCCTTGAACTCCGACAGGCTTGGTGCCATGACCACTTCCCTGGAGAGCCTTTCCCAGTGACCGACCACCCTCTCAGCAAAGAACCTTTTCCTAATGTCCAGTCTGAACTTCACTTGACACCGTCTCACGCTATTTCCTTGTGTCCTGCCAATCCTGCTCTGACGGAATTTGATCCTAAGCGAAGTGGTGATGTTTTTTATTTTTTTTTCCTGACTAGTGGCTATACCACTTGCTGTTATGAATTATCTTCAACACAGCATGTCAAGTTTTGAAAACCATGTCTTCACTGAAATTCCTTTGATCTCAAATGAACTTCTGAAAGTTATCGGGAACCATCTGTAGAAGACCGCTACAAACTGGTTTTGTCTCGACATTGCCAATGTCATCTCTTGCTGGCCTCTGGAAAGAAACCACCACAACGACCTGCAGGAAAGCACTTGCGCACAGAGTAACGCATGGGCAGGCAAGAGCAGACTTGTCTAAGCGGGCAGCACATACGGCACAAGTGCGGACATGCTCTGTGCATGCGCAAATGCCCCTATAAAAGGGCAGCACATGATCCTCGGAGCTCTCTCTCTCTTGCTCTCCTCCTCGGCGCCTCACTGCTGGGCTCTGCTCTTGCTGGGGCCTCCACACCTGCACAGAGACTGAGCCGACCGGACATCGCTGGACATCGTCGAATCCATGGTGGTGGTAACTGATCCCACCCCCCTGCACTTC